GATATCCGACGGATCCTTGCCCAGGATCAGCATGTCATCAACGTATAAGCCAATCAGTAGCCGTCTGTCAGCGGTCGCGAAGATACTTGGTTCGCTGAATATCGGCTGGAAACCCAGCTCGCCGAGTCCCTTGCAGGCCTCAATATACCACTCCCTCCCGGACTGCTTCAGCCCGTAGAGCGACTTCCGTAGCCGTAGTACGTAGCCTTCTGGGCAGTATAATCCTTCTGGTGGTCTCATATAGACCTCTGCATGTAGATCTGAGCGCGGGTACGCGCTCACGACGTCGATCTGCCGGATTTCCATGTCCTCGTAGGCGCCGATCGCCAGTAGAAGTCGAAGAGACTCAGCCCGAATCGTCGGTGAGAACGTCTCGAGGTAATCGTCGCCAGGGACTTGGCCGAAGCCCTGGGCGACAAGTCTTGCCTTGAATCGATCAAGGAGGCCGGTGGGCGTATACTTGACATTGAACACCCAGCGGCAACCCAGAACTCTCTTTCCTCTCGGCAGCTTCACATGCTCCCAAGTTCCGAGCGATTGGAGCTGCGTAAGCTCTTCCTGGACTGCGAGCGTCCAGTCCGCGCCATGCTCTGAGTCATTGACAGCCGCAGCATATTTGTCGGGGACTGGCAGTCTAGCCGGCGCTGCGTAAGACGCTTCGAAAGCCTCTTCGAACGGTCTCGTTGACCGCCTTTCTCTGCCACTTCGCCGGACAGTAAACTCCTTAGCAGGAGGGCTCTTTTTGGCGACTTCAGCTTCTGTGAGGAGTTGATTGGCTGCAGAGTCAGATTCGCCTTCTTCGTCGAAGGGTTCGTCAACTTGGTCAGTTCCTGGGCCAGGGGTTTGGTCATCGTCTCGCTCTATCGATTGGATCGGCGGCGACGATGTCGTAGAGCGCGGTGGCCCCAAATCGCCCTGTGCTCCCACGATAGGGGGGTGCCCATCGCTGTACTGCCCATCGTCGATTCGGCATTGCGACTCAGGCGGTAATCCAGGGGGTGGCGGCTCCTGGCCCGCTGGGGAATCAGCGGCCAGAATATCGTCGCCGGCATTGCGCAGGCCCCCTATTGGGGTATCACCCTGGCTGCGCCGATGGCTAACTGCCTCTATAGGGGGCCCCTGCTCGAGGTAAGCCTCCATGGGGTCAAACCCCACATCCTCGACGGGCCCTTCGTCCGAGTCGGCGAGATCAAGGCATTGATCCTCGACGAACCTCACCGAAGTTGCAATGATGATGCGGTCGCCGACCGGATCATACAATCGGTACTGCTTGGAGGTGCCGGCGTAGCCAACCAGTGCAGTCCGTATCGCGTTGGGCGCGAGTTTGTCGCCGCCCCTCTGTTCCATCGCGAGGTTTGCATATACGACGCAACCCCAGACGCGGAGGTGAGCCACAGACGGCTTCTTGCCGCTGTATGACTCTTCCGGCGACTTGCCTTCAGGCCCGATTGGCAGCCTGTTCCGCAGGTAGGAGGCGGCAATCGCCGCCTCAGCCCAGAGCTTCCTAGGCAGGCGCGCGTAGGCCAGCATCGCCCTGATCAGGGCCACCAAGGCCCGGTTCAGGCGCTCAGAAGCGCCATTCTGATACGACGTATACGGCGTCGTAAACTCGAACAGGATTCCCTGAGTGCTCCCGAGGTCCCGTTCGAGAGCCCTGTACTCGCTGCCGTTGTCGCAGCGTACGACTTTGATCTTCCGGCCGGTTTGGTGCTCGACCTGAGTCCTAAACTCTGTAAAGATCGCCCGTAGCTGCCCCGTAGACTTCATAACGTAGACCCAGGTCTTCCGTGTATAGTCGTCTGTAAACGTCACAAAGTAGACGTTACTGCCGCCTAGTGACGGCGTCCGGTATGGCCCCCAGATATCGCTGTGGATCCTGTCGAGGGGGGCTGTCGCATGCTCTGATGCTTTTCGGTTGATAACCCGCGTACTCTTGTTGAGTAGGCACTCTCCACACGGGTCTGCAAGATCACCAATCGGCCCTGGCAACCCATCGACTGCGGTGTGGGCCAGCCTCAGACTCCTTGAGCTCAGGTGCCCAAAGCGCCGATGCCAAAGCATGGCCTCATCTGGTGACATCGCCACTGCGCGCAGCGCAGTGACGGCGCCTTCCTAGGTGCCGTCCAGGATGTAGGAACGTCCGATTCGATCAGCTACGCCGACGACTTGCCCCTTGAGTTCCAGGAGCATCTTGCCGCCGCTGGTCGTCCTTGTCATGATACCCCTATCCTGGAGATGGGGGACTGAGACGAGACTTCCGGCGAGCTTCGGTACGTGCAGTACTTCGTGAAGCTGGATATGGCGCTTGTCGCCCCTGACAGCTATTTCGAAGCTGACAGTCCCTTCAGCGACGGCCTGGATTTCCGTCCCGTTGGCTAGTCTGACTGGAATCGGCTTGTCTAGTATGATGTAGTTGACGAACGCCTCTCTGGCGTACGTCATATGGCGAGAGCAACCCGAATCCATGATCCACGCCCTTCTTTTAGCTTGCCCGTCGCCGACCCAGCGCGTATCGATGCCACACAAGTCGTTGGTCGCAGCGATCCAAGACGTCTCGGTGACGGGAGCGGCCCGGATGTAGGCAGCGTTCGCCCCTTCCGATGGGGGCGGCGATAACCCCTTTCCCCCGCCAGGGGCAGCGAGGGGGCCAGTCGACGGCCCTGCCGTCTTCAGCTCCCCCCTCTTTTTCGCGTTGCAGTCCCGGCTTATATGGCCGATTTTTCTGCAGTGATAACAGGTACGGGTATCCTTGTGGTAGGACCTGCCCCCACCGCCCTGCCCACCCCTTTTGCCCCTCGTATTTCCAGTATCCGTAGAGGCTTGCCGGGCAGACTCAGTGACTGTCTTCGACTTTGTGAGCTGCTCTTCGATGTCGACGAAGTGCTCAACAATACTCTCGTAGTCCGTAATGTTCGCTGCTCGGATCTGGGTAGCAGCGATGTCGTATTTGCCCCCCCGACTTATCATAATCGTGATAAGGCGACCGGCCTTCCCCTTGTCGGATGGCTGCTCATTAGGATCAATTCGGCCGATATCCTCCTGGAGGTAGTCGAGCTGGGTGACAATATCGCTCACCGAAGTCGTCGCCGACGGCGAGTACGTGTTGAAAGCTTCGCTCCTCGAAGTCAACTGTTGTATTCCGTCCCTAGCATAGGTTTTCTTGAGGTAATCCCACATCTCCTTGGCACTATCGAACTTGAGTATCTTGTCAATGATACTCTGGGTACAGGCCTCCATTATCATATTCCTTGCCCGTAGATCTCGTCTTTTGGCCTTATGATCTTTTAGAGCTTTGGACCGGGCCGCAGCTGCTTCGCTGGGTTCCTTTTTCGTCTCGAGCTCGGGCTCCAGATCGTCGTCGAGCGTATATGTCAGATCAACGGCACTCCAGACTCTTCGGTCCTGGAGTATGACCTTGAGCTGCTTGCCCCAATTCCGGTAATTGGGCCCCGTGAGCTTCTGGATCCGGGGCCGCTCGGTGATAGATTCGGTCTCCATCGTGGAGGGCAGCTATCACTTCCTTTTTTTTTTTTTTTTTTTGGGGCTGAGTATCGGCGGCGGATAGCTCAGGCTCTCACTTTTTCGATGTGAGACCTCGGAATCAATTCGTCGTTGAATATGAGAATTTCCTTGGCGTTGCCGGGCTCATAACCTGTTGGAACAGGAAGTACCGTGGTACGGGATCACACACAAATCATGTGGTTTCTCCAGTGGTCGGGACTTCTCACGGGTGCAACGGGGCAGGAATTCTCACACAGTATATAGCTTACTATAGCAAAATAAGATCGATTGATTAACTACACTATCTAATGGGCCTACGTGGCTATTTGTAGGCCTTTCGGAGGTTCTGCTTCGACCCCCCAAAAGCCCCCTATTCTGGTGGCTTCAGAGCTGAAACCCCAGTTGAGACTGTGGTGGTTTCCAGCACCGGTCGGAGATCCTGGGATGCCGTAGTGGATTATAGGGCCAAATACCACCGTATCCCACGCCCACGGCCTACTCTCCAACAGAACTCACTCGAGTCCTCGGAGTCCTGGACTCTTAGGACTCTTCTCATCATCCTGCGAGTCCATCACGTGATACTTTCGGAACTACTATTCCCCGCTGCCCCTCCAGGTACCAGGGCCGGTCTCATGCGACCTCCCTCCTTCCTGTCCTGTAGTTGGCCAGCCTTCTTGTTCCGTCGTAACAACCGTAACCTGTCCAACTCAGATCCCTTCCGTCACTGAGGGCGGAGGCATCCTTACATAGACAGTGCGTAATTACAAGCGTAACCGAATAGCCCCTAAAACAATATAGGCAATTATGCTTGTCTATTACCGACAGAAGATTGAACGGGAGCAGCAATTTAAACACTATTTAGTAACTGATATTATTGATTCTACTAATATGACTAAAGACAAAATAGGGTTAGAGTATAACACTATGGTTGAGGCTATCTAAGACAAGTAGGCAATATAGTATATTCCTAATCGAAGCCCTGATATGTCAAATACTCATAACTAGACATAGCAGAATGAAGAACATTTTGCATTTATCTAATCACAATGAGAGCTCTATGGCTTACAGAGGGTCTAGCAAACACAAAGCTAACGCTAGAGTCAAGCTATTACATCTACATTTAATGTAAACAACCAAGAGTTAGATAATGAGGTTGTAGGGCTACTACCAAGTCAAAGCAATGGTGATTATCAATTACCTTTACTTACAAGGCCTTCTTCTATTGCAAAGAGGCCACGGAACAATAATGGGGCTCAAATTCTTCAAAGAGAAGTAGTCCCATCAATTGAACCAGGCCAATTCCGTAACACATCACGGTTAGGTCGCGAAATTTGGGAGTTATGGCGTAATGTAGATATATAGTAACAATTATAGTAATTGCCAACTACCAACTTATCTGTCTAAATTACTTGTAAAATATCCACTTAAAATGTTAAGGCGCAAATGACGCACCCTAGAACCCTCCTCCGAAATCTTCCCACTTCCATTACGCAGAAGCGATGGACACGAAACTCCACCGACACCGACACAGCCGCCGGAGATCCGCTTCACCGGAAAGTCCCACACGCGATGTAAGAGACAGACATTACTACGTAGGGGAAGCGGAGGAGTTTGGTGCTGAATTAGAGAGGCGATCCCGCCTAACCCAAGGGGAAAGGATGGTAGACGACGGGAGTAAACTACAACGGCAGCTCGAGCAAGATGCCGCAATGACAATTCTCCTACAGCCGTCCCCGCCAATACATATGAGACGAGCACATTGCCGGGCAAACGAATGTTTTATCACAAATACGTCGCTAAGAGGAGATAGCCTGATCATGGCTGATTACAGAATTGCCCTTGTGAGCCATAACCTCGAGTATTTCCACATATCGTGCCTAGAGAAGATGATCGATCTTCCATCGCTAGCGCCGTCTCGATTCAAGCTCTACACGGATGGTTATCGGTGGAATAGCGGCTGGCCTTGGACATGGGGCCTGATGTTGCGGAAATGGTTCCAGCATAGTGGGTGCGTCGACCTCACCAGGATTGCAGAATACATTGACGCGTATAACGTTAAAGGACACTAACACAACTCATAGTTTCATATATGATTCAGAAGCCATCTAACATCTGGAGTCTCCATTTTGAAAAACTCCACCACACTTAAAGCTAAAGCATGAACCTAACATATATACCTGTACGCTTTCTTCCACTTAGGCCACGCCTTCTTCTCCAGCATCTCTTCCTCAATCAGTTCAGCAGTATCGAGCGCACGACGACCAGTAACCAAGTCCATATTGTGCGTGCGCATGAACGGTGTCTTGAAGTAGAACTTGTATGGGAAGTAGCAGAGCAACACGACAGGCGCCGCAAGGTATGCCAAGAAGAAATTCTCAGCGATCTCGTTGGAGGTCATCTGCTTCCAGCCAATAGGCCAGACGGCAGTCCAGAATTGAGCAACGAGCACGAGGCAATTGAGGATAAGGCCGAGCCAGGACCCATAGACGCCGACTTGGGAGCGGAATGCGAGCTCGTCGAGAGAATGACCTTGCTTTTTCCACGCAGAGCGGAAGCGAATATGAGCGAGGCAGATGGAACCCCATGTGAAGATGGAAGAGAGCCCAGAGAGGGAGTATAGCCAGTTGAGAGCGGTGTTGGACGTTTGTGGTCCACCAGCGACGACGTAGCAGAGGAGACCGACGATCGATGAAACCCCTATGGCGACTATTGGGCGCCCTTTGCGGTCAATGTATGCCAGGATACGTGGCGCTTGGTTTTGTTCTGCGAGAGCGGCGAGAGTACGGGACGAGCCATACACGGCGGAATTACCGACGGACAGAACGGAAATGAGTACTACAACGTTCATTATCGATGGCAGAACGGCGATTGAGGCGTTTTCTATGGCGATGACGAAAGGTGAGGCCTTGGCATCAGTAGAACCAGTGCCGAGGAGTCTGGAGTCTCCGTATGGAACCAAGAGTGACACGACGGTCAATGCGACCATGTAAAAGAGGCAGATACGCCAGAACACCTGCTTGATAGCGATTGGGAGGGTCTTGCGCGGGTTACCAGCTTCAGCAGCGGCCAAACCAACAAGCTCAGTTCCAGCGAAGGAGAAGGCGGCTGTGACAAAAACGCTACAAAGTCCCTTGAATCCATTGTTGAAAGGGCCAGAATGGATTGATCCAGGTAGGTTTTTGGAGCTCTGGGTGTATCCTTGGTAGTCTGCTGGGACGTTGTCGGTCTTCCAATACCTGTTGCCAATATAGCCACCAACGGGGCCACCACCGCAGTTGAGGACTATACCCAATACGATGAAGCCAATAACAGCGATGACCTTGATAATAGAGAAGACGAATTCAGCCTCGCCGTATCCTCGAACGCCAAATAAGTTTATTGAAACAATCAATACGAAGAAAATGGTGACCCATGCGGCAGAGTTGGTGTCCGCAGCTCCTGGCCAAAAAGATACGGTGATGGAAGCGGCGACAATTTCGAGCGGAAGAACGACCAACCACTGCATGGCATAGTTCAATCCCATGGCGAAACCCCAAGCAGGATCAATAAACCGTGTGGAATACGCAGAGAAAGATCCGGCTACAGGGAAAATAACTGCCAGCTCGCCGAGAGCCTGAACTGTGCAGAACAACATGATGCCAATGATTCCATATGCAATGATCAGAGATGCAGGTCCACCCCTGGAAAGCGCAGCGCCAGATGTAACGAAAAGGCCAGTACCTGGGGACTGTTAGCGACGTCTCTCTCTAATTGATTCTCGTAGAACTCGCCAATTGAACCACCAATGGCAATCATTTGCAGATGCCTGCCCTTGAGCTTACGAGCGAGGCCAGAGTTGGCAGTGCGCTGCGCGGCACCCTCATGATCGAAACCGCTGCCCTCGGCCTTGAAAGTATGGGTGCTTTTGGTTGTGGGGTCCCGCTTAAAACTGTCGACAATGCGTGTCAATATAGTTCCCTTTTGTTGCTCTTCGGCGCCGTCGAATACTAGTTGGTCGTCGCCGTTCTTGGGGGATGATCCACCATAATTACCATCCTTTTCAGGATCTCGCTCAAAAGGTTTTGTGGACATTGTGCCTCTTGTATTCTCCGAGTATGCAATTATCTAACTTGAAGTATGCGGAGGGGATAAGTTGATGATAAGATGGCCGTTTAAATAGGAGTTGAGATGCGGGGAAGACCGTCCGTGCTAGAGTGCGACTCGGGAACGAGCTACTACTGTGCCCAACAACGGACCTTCGGATTCTCCATGAGATTAAAGGTGCAGAGCAGATTAAGCAGATGCATTTAAATGGCCATTGATAGCCAAAGGGGCTTTTATTGGGTGCACTAATTCTACTCATCTTGCCCGAGTAGGCAGCTGGGTAGTGGCGGAATGTTCAGTGTGTGGGCGAGGGTGATGTGGCTGGCGTGACTAGCGCTGCTTCGCCATCCGCTCCTGCCCTTTTCGTATTCGAGATGCATATCGCAACATTTCAAGGACTAGTAAATCCGCTATTCGTAGTAAGACCCCGACGTAATAAGCCTCATAGGATAGGAGGCTTCTCCCCATACCCCACAAAGGCTCTCCCCATACAGTGGTGTTAGTTCATCGTGATCTTCTGACAGCCTTCTAGATGTTTGGGAAATAAAATCTGCACAACTGCGGTCTCGTGGTGGAGATCCAGTCCATCAGTCTTTCATTGTTCTCGTCGAAAGGCCTGTCACATTTAGGAGGACGGGACGGGAACTAGAAATAAGGACCAAATCACGATGAGGGATTTTTTGCGCTGCCTCAGGCCGCAACCACCCCCCTGCACCTACCCTTCTGAATTGGACCGTAGCCCCCACGGTCGCAACGTCGGTGCCAACTCAACCGTGGCTATAGCGATTCTGCTCGATGGCAGCGACCGTATATAGCTCAACCTTCGTAAAAAGCTGTAAATGGGCTCTTATATGCTGTATTACCGTACCTTACCTACACAGCAATATAAAACAAGTGCTAGAGTGAACGGTAGAAGCCTGTAGAACCCTGTTTGCGAATCGTAGGTGCTGTATTACTGTAGGCTTCGCTGCGTTTCGGTACAATCGAAGCTCTCCTATAAAGTTATGGGGCCACTACTTAATTTAACACCACTATTGGCTACTACGATGACGGTCCAAAATCACGATTCTCATCGTGATTCGAGCGTTTTAGCAACTGTTGAACAGGCTGTTCAACACCCCCGTATGTAGTTAGTATAGAAATATAAGAATTTAGTGCCATAATCCCTGTACAAACCTTGCAAGCCCAAGCTCCACTACTTCCTATTTAGGACTTAGGACTGTAGAGGTTTAACAGTTACCTGTTGAAGACTTACAGCGAGCCATATTCCTGTTGTAGTTAGAGTATTTATTAGTAATCACCTTCACTAACTCTACAGCTTCAGTTCATGTAGCTGTAGAGTTAGTAATAAAGAGTCGTATGTATGATTGTATTATATTCAATACAAGTAATAACTATGGCATCTTGACCCTAGAAGCAAACTCGGCTAGCCGATGGTATGTCAGCTAGTGGTACTACTAGAGAGTCGGCCCAAACTAGGCTGCATTATAGTTGCCCTAACCTTAAGCTATAGAAAGGATAATGGTAGCTAGGTAGGTGAGTAATTCTAAAGATCCTTAGCTAGGACATGATGAAGATCACCACCTCTATCATTAACATCTATAGTATCAATGGATAGTAAGGTTCATACTAGACCTAGATACCAAGATAGTATAATAACATTAAGGTGTAATACGGTCTCATTATGGACCGTAAGAATAGCCTAGTCTGTAAAGAGATCTTCTATATGATTCTGCAGCTGAATACATTATCTAGGTAGATTGTAGCAATAAGGCCATCTAATTCCTTTAACTATGTAATATATGGTGGTATTAGCATTATGCCATTAAGTTGCAGGTTGTATATTCTCCTAATCCACATAACAAATTCCTCATTAAGCACCCCACCTTAGACAAGCATATTAACCTGTAAATGTAGCTGCTAAAGCCGTGACTATACAAATGAGCACTGTAAACAGGCTTAGACAATCTGCACACAAGAACCCTAAGGCATTATAGGTAGGATTGTAATGGTGGGTGCACCAGATGTGAGAATCTAGCCACCACGGAAGGGATGATTTTACTAAGACAACACACTGTCTTAGGAAACAGAGCCAAAGGGTTGTAGCTTAGACTATTCCACAACGCAGCAATCAAGTGTATGATGTAGTGGAGTGATTTAGACAAGTTGTACAAATGTTTGAGTCTGAGAACTCAGGGATAAGTCAGAGGTTAGCACCTCACTGACTTTTCAGAAACAAGGAGTAACAAGATCAATGCTTGGAAGCTTGGAAAAGACGTGGAAGTATGTGATAGTCAATTTACTGTATTGCCTGCTTGCCCTTTCTTAAGGAAAGGGCAATCCTATTTATGCTAAAGGAGTGTAGTTCTCTCATTTTCCAAGACTTTCCATGACTAACCAGGCTTGGTAACTGTAGTCGACGTAAGAGAATCCCATAGAACCATCTCCTAGGTTCCTAGCCTATAGGAAGTGAAAGGAGGTCCAAGGTCAGAGTACCCCTATAGACAGATTATGTCATAACTTAACCAATCTTGTGGGTAACTAAGGAGCGATGACGTGTAATGAATCATAGACAGTTGTAGAAGCTTTTGGAGCTATCGTTCATGTTCCTAGGCCTCTAGTTGATAGAGATATGTCATGTGTAGTATTAGCCCAGTAACTAAGGAGTGATGTCATGTAATGAATCATAGAGGGTTGTAGAGATATGCTATGTGGTCATATCGGCCCAGTAACTAAGGAGCAATGACATGTAATAAATCATAGAGGGTTGTAGCAATCATTGAGTAGTATTGCTCTTGTTGTTGGTGTGATAAGCCAAAATATGTATAGTGACTTGTAGGTTTGAGGAGGAGATTTCCAAGTTTGCTCTTGAGTTTGATAGCAAACTGAGTGCAACGAATGTCAGTATGACAGTCTGGTAGTCTCCATTCCATTGGTTTTGGATGATCGCGACGCGGCTGCGGAATTGGGGAGTCAACTTGTTCCACATGTACCGAAACCATTCCGACTCGGAGACTTGTCCTGTGATAGCTGCACTTTGGAAACGACCCTTAAACTCTGGGAAGGTTTCGATAGCATGCCCCTTCTCTCCCATTTGCAGGTCATCGAAGAGGTTCCTGGCCTGTTCCATCTCGTTGACTGTGAAGTAGTATGAACCTAGTAGATCGATCATCTCCTCAGTACTGCAGAACCCATGCGTAGCAGACAGGTATTGGGGCTCTAGGTAGGTCTTCGCCAGGCCTGTCGTAGTTCCCCATATCAATGCTCTTTTCAAGACGTCAGTAAGGTAGTGGTCCTCATTGACTATGAGTCAGTCCTGAATCGAAGCGCTCCATTGTAGGAAGGTATGTTCTATCCCATCGCTGAGAGGAAGGATTTTCTCAGAGATGGTTGATTTCTTATAGCGATTCGGAGGGTCCTCGGTGAGCATTCGTGATGACCCTGGAATCGATGGAGAACGAGTGTTCCGAAGAGGCGGCAATTGAACTGTCTCAGGGGTGTTTCATGTGCGAGGTGTTTGTTGCTCCGTAGCTTTGACTGTGGCTATGTGTAAGGACAGTTCGAACTGAGGCTGACCTTCAAGTCTGCAGAAGTATCCAAAGTATAATGTGAAGACTTCGATACTCGAAGCAGTAGGACAAGGTATAGTAGTTCAGGCTCCAAAGCATATGCTTTATACCACAGGGGTCAAGTGGTGAGACTAACAGGCTGGCCAAGTGGTTCGACTCGAAGTAAGGGAATGCAAAGTAAGTCGAAGCAGGAGGAATTGCAAGAAGGCCAAGTAGTATATAATTTGCTAGCTAAAAATCAATAAGAGACATGAGCAATAAGTGCTTATATAACAGTAAAAATCCCTAGTGCCAAATAAGCGAAGGCACTAATTAACCGAACCCTAGCTAAGCGAGCCCTAATGCAGCAAGCCAATAACAAGAGAGCCTAAGCCAGTAGTCAACGTTTGGGCTGATCTAGGTCAGCAAGTGAAGCGAAGTGAGCGAAGTGAGCGAAGCAGGTGAAGTGAATGACATAGTGAAATAAGTACTAGAGACTAAAGCGAATCGAAGGGTCGTGACACAAATATCGAAGGAGTGTCATGACACTATGGGGGCGTCCACCGGCGGTGTGGACGGGATTCTGGTCTGGGCTGCCGTAAGGGTAACTAGTAGATCCTTGACCTCCTGTATCTGTGCTTCAAGGTGGGCCATTCGACTCGGGATGTCTTCGATGGCACAGCGGTCATAGCTGCAGCGGTGGTTTGTCTGGTAGTCATTCTAGGCAGTTGACCATCGTTGTCTTGGGGTGTGTTTGATGTCAGCTTTCTCGACATATTGCCTCGGGTGTGTATCAGTACTGATAAGAAAGAGCTTGACTTCTGGTGGCTCGTAGCTATCAACACTCTTGTCCACAATTTCCTCTGTGCTAGGAGGGGGTTCTTAAGGATCTCGTATCCTATTTGGCGCCAACGCGTCAGTGACTTTACCAGCTTGTTCTGAAGAATCAAACCCTGATCCGCTGGCTGTCCGTGAGATCTCTGGAATCACGGCTATTTGAAGTTGTCAGGTCTCTCCTCCGAAACGTCACCGAGTTGCAGTCTATGGTGTAACGGTAGTTCTCCTGAGAGTTCCGGTGTGGGATATTATTTAAGTATGGCTGTCCCCGGCAGGAGTGATCTTTTTTGTATAATGTAAGGACACAGGGCACCCAGCTCACAGTAATAGCATATGAGAGTGCGAGTCAGAGGCTAAACGGATGCTATCCTATAGGTCTACTACGAAGGATACAAAAAAGATGAAGGGGGAACCCCGTTAAGTTTGTTTCCTTAAGTACCCGAAACGGGCCCGACTCAGTTATCCCAGCCCTAGCCCTGAACCTTCCACCACAACAGGTCCGCATCGACCCTGAACCCTACACCCTTACCGTCCCCCACTATAGTGTAACTCGCTATGTCCTCCTCTACTGGTTCGAAACCACACCGAGTCGGATTTCATGCTTGTGGTGACCGTAACAGCTCTGAGGCAGGTTCTTCGAGTATCTAGGTAAGGAGGCATCCTTACAGGCTGGCTACGTCATTGCGAGATATTTTTGCGATTGGCTAGGTCGTAGGCAAGGCACTCTCAAGCCATATTGCGCATGTTGCAGTCACAAGAGGCTTCAGATGTGCGCGGCGACGAGGA